TAGGGAAAGTATTTACAAGAATGTGTTTTTGTGTTCTTGTAGATTACAAAGGCCACAAGTAACTCTCTTACAATAAAGCTTCCAATAAGGAATGTTTCAAACTTCTTTTCTATTACAAAGTAGATATTGTGTGAGTAATTTCTTTCTTTCTTTGATCTTGAAAATTTTAGAGGATAAAGCAAGGAATGTAGCTTGTTATGCTTGAGTAATTTCTTTGTTTCTTTGATCTTGCTTCCTTCAAAATGTGATCATTGTCTTCCCTTTATAGGCACTTAGTAATAGATTCATTTTAGCTTGCTTATTCTTTAAGCTTGGTGCTGATATCATTATACTTTTACTTAGAAGCAAATTTATCATTATTAAAATCATATTTGGGTAGGATTCAACAATCTCTCCCTTTTTGATAACGATAAAACTTAGAAGCGAATTTTTAAAAAGTGTGTATACCTCTCAATAATTAAATATGCACCTTTCAAATTTATATCATTCACTGATTTACTCCCCCTCAATTTATGAATCATACATCATACAACTCCCCCTTTAACATATGCATATATTGGTCAATCAAATAATTGTAAAACTGTATATGAGCAAGGCATATGCGGTGAATCAGTAATACCATTCAAATCATTCATCAAAATTATCAGGTATCAAATTACAACCTACAATAGAGCAAGTATCAAAATAATATTGATTTGGCAAAAGTGCACAGGGATGTCAATAAGATGGGGTGGGTATGAATAATAGCCCCTCGCTACCTGTACCCACCCAATTAAGTAGGCATCTGTGTATTTTTTTTCAATATCCACAGATATTTGAGAATATTTATTTAAAAATATAAATTTTAAAATTTTTTAATAATAATATCTATTTATTCTAATAATTTCTTTAAAAATAATAGTTTAAAAGTCAAAACTTAAATTATTCAAATATTATACAATTTTATTAATCAAGATTCTTTGATTTAAAAACTAAATTTAATTGTTAAAGTACTTTATTCCCATAAGTTTAAACAAATTTAATATGTCATTATATAATTAAATATTAGCGGGTACTTACGGTTATAGATAGTATGATACTTGTACTCGCCCAATTAATATGTGGGTATAGAAAATACTCGTACTTATTACTCACAGATATCCATTTATAATATCTATTTTCAATCATGCATTTTATTTATGAATATCCGTGAGTTTGGATTTTTTTGATATCCTTAGTACAAACAAAGTGTAACTAATCGTGATCCATGAAAATAAAATTTGCAAATCCTAAAACTATCACTTTCTAAAATATGACAGTGTGTGGAAGTTACGTTTGGTAATTTGACCGAAATAGGATCGATTTGATTGTAAGAATGAAAATGAGTTAGTGAGGAGGAGACGTGATCAGTCGCTCCAGAGTCCAATATCCAAGAAGTGGGTGTGGGTGTGCAGTTGATAGAGGACAAAGATATACCTGAGGGTGGTGTATGATGAGTGGAACATGAAGAAACAGAGGCAATTTGGTTGACATGAGATGGGATAGATGCTGAATTCTCAGGAGATGATTGTTGGATTAAAGCGAGCAATGCTTTATACTGCTGGGGTGTCAAACGAACCTCTTGAGACTCATGGTGCTGCGTTTGGTCATCAATGGCTTTGCTACCAACTGTCACTATGCTGTTCGTGGTGTTCTTTGTATTAAAGAATTTGTGTCCAGGGGGAAATCCATGTTTCTTATAACACATATCAATAGTGTGGCCATTCCTTCCACAATGAGTACATGTTTTTCCATTTTTGGTATTGTTTCCTTTGTTCTTCCCATCATAATTGGGAGGAAACCCGTGTTTTCTATAGCAAACACTCGGCTTTACCTTCTTACACCCAACCACATCACAACACATGCCATACACTCTACTATTGTTCACCCAAAATGTAACATAATTCCTATAGATCTTTGGCATTTTCGCATGGGTCACCTATCTACTGAACGATTACAACTCATGCAGTCTTGTTATCCTTTTTTACGAAGTAATAAAAATTTTACATGCAATACATGTCATTATGCAAAACATAAGAAGTTATCTTTTCCTGCTAGCAAGTCACATGCATCTAACTGCTTTGATATTTTGCATATGGATATATGGGGCCCGTGCTCGAAACTTTCCATGCATGGCCATCGTTATTTCCTCACCATCGTGGATGATCATTCCCGTTTTACGTGGGTGTATCTCATGCATACAAAAACTGAAACTCGTAAAAACATTACAGATTTCATTGCATACATTGAAACACAATTTAACAACAAGATTAAAATCATACGAACTGATAATGGGTCTGAATTTGCCATGCATGATTTCTTTGCCTCAAAGGGAATAATTCATCAAACAACTTGTGTTGAAACTCCCGAACAAAATGGGATTGTTGAACGTAAACATCAACACCTTTTAAATGTCACACGAGCTCTTTTATTTCACGCTAATCTTCCACAAAGTTTTTGGTGTTTTGCTTTACTTCACGCTGCATACTTAATTAATTGCATCCCAACTCCTTTTTTACAAAACATATCACCTTATGAAAAACTTTATGGCAGCCCATGTGACATCTCCAATCTTCGTATTTTTGGATGTTTATGTTACATTAGCACCCTCAAAACTCATAGACAGAAACTTGACCCAAGAGCTCATCCATGCATTTTCCTCGGCCTCAAACCACACACCAAAGGTTACCTTGTTTATGATCTTCATTCCCATAATATCACTGTATCACGAAATACCATCTTTTATGAAGCGTGTAGGGAAATCTTGAGTTAATCTTCGCTTAGTTGATTAACACGGATGGAACAAGGATTAAGTGGTTAATAGAGTAATCTTTGAGAACCAGGGATAAAAGAGTTACAATCCAAACAAGGAGCCAATCTGTTTTACTTACTGTTTTATTTCGTATTATTGTGTTACAAACTGAAGGTCCTTGGGAGACGACCTAGGAGTCACTTCCTAGTACTACATTTAATTGTATTTATTTGACCGGATACGGCTTTGATCAAATTTGGCGCCGTTGCCGGGGACCAACGGTTTCTGTAAAAGGCTTTGTGTTTGTGTGTTATTTATTTTTGTTGTGTATTTTGTGTTTTAGAGTTTCTGTTACGTTATGTGTGTTTATGTCTAAGTCTTGTATTTGTAAAAATAATTAATTTTTAATATTTTTTATTATTATTTAAAAATTTAATAATAAAATCATTAAAAAATGTGTATATTAAATCAAACTATCGCTTTTATATATGTATATATATATATATACTATTTTAAAAACAAAATAATAATATATTTTTATAATAATAATAATAATAATAATTTTTATTTATTATTTTAAATAAAACCATTTATAAAATTAAACTTTTACTCCATTTCTCATTTACTAAACATCTTTATTTTTACTTTATTAATTTCTTATCTATTTTCTTTAAAAAAAATTCTTATATTTTTCACTTTAAGTTTTCATTAATCCATGTTTGATTTGTACCTTTAAATATTTCATTTGATCAAAATCACAACTATTACTCAGTGCCATCAAATTTAATATCATGCCAGGACATGCATGGGGATAATCATGGCAATAAAGATGCCTCACAAGCCAATTGCAACATCGCTACATGTCCTTATAAGTATGTTCCCAATAAATCAACATGCTCCATCACGTGATTTGTACTTGACTAAATATAATTAAACACAATGCAAATTACTTAATGTCATGATAACATAAATTATCAATATGAGCACTTATTACTTAACACATGACCCTCATCACTTGTTCTATATAAATATGTAAGAACCTTAAGAAACATTAGTTATCAACTCATCACTATCTAGCTATAGCAACCCCAAAAATCATGCACCACCTTCTACTCTTTGCGATCCTGGTTCTGCTTCTAGTGTTAGCATCAAGAGTTGCATATTCAACAATTTGGGTCCCATGGAACATTGCACGTCACTTTCGTAAGCAAGGCATAAGGGGACCCTCGTACCGTCTGATCAAAGGGAACACGGAGGAGATCCACGGCATGTATGCGGAAGTTCAATCGAAGCCAATGGCGTTGTGCCACGACACCCTGGAGCGCGTGTGTCCATTCTACCACAGGTGGTCGCGCATGTATGGGAAAACTGTTCTGTACTGGCACGGGTCGAAGCCGAAAGTGGTACTATCCGACCCGGATATGATTAAGGAGATACTTGTGAAAACGGGTGACGGGTTTGAGAGGCCGGATCCGAATCCGTCGACGAAACAGTTTTTTGGAGAAGGAATATTGGTGATTAAAGGAGAACAATGGGGTGTGCATAGAGCAATTGCTAACCAGGCTTTTAAAATGGAGCGGGTCAAGGTAAATCCATCCTTACACTCACATGCTTACAAATTCTTGTTATATAAAGAAATACTTTTGTTTGTAAGAGTCTTTTACCTTCACTTTCATCAAGATTAATTGTATTTTTAACAAATAAAATTATGTTTAAATATATGTTTTTGGTTTAAATATGTTTTAAATTTTTTTAATTTCGAGTATATATTTTTTTAGTCTCATATTAGAAATTTATGTTTTAAATTCTTATAATTTAAAAGAAATTATTTTGATCTCTCAAATTTAAAATTTGTGATTGTTAAAATGTATTATTTTAATTTCTCTCAATTTGTCACTGCCAGTTATGATATTAATGATTAAAATAATATTTTTTTTCTTCAAATTATAGGGATTAAAATGATAAATTTTAAATTTGAGATACCAAAATAATAATTTTTGATATTTTGATATTGAAAGCACAAGTTTTAAATTTAAGAAACTAAAAAAATACATACATTAAATTTGAAGAATCAAAAACATAATTAAACCTGAAAAAAAATAAGACATATTTCTTCTCTACATTTTTTTTAATATCATTCTTCTTCTATTTTATAAATTAAGCGACTTTTTTACGCTAACAATTAATAAGAGAATATTATTTTTTTCTTGCACATTTTTATTAGACTATTTTGTCTGGATAAACTACTTATCACACTATATTCCTTTCTTATTATTATTTTTATTTAATCTTTATTATTTTTCTTTTTCTTTACTTTTCATAAATTTCCTTTTTCAAACATATGATACTCTCTAATTAACCACTCACTTCATTATCTTTCTTTATTTTTTATATTTTTTAAGTAGGTTGAAAAATATGACATCATATAATATTGGAGATACAATAATTTTTCATGTGCATCATATTAAAAATAACTTAGTCTTTATATGATAATTTTATAACTTGAATGTTTTTAGTCTTTAATTTTGAGGTACATTCACCTTAAATATACTTGTTTTAGCTCATTAAAGACATTTGACTAAAATTAAAAAAAGTTTGAGAGATAAAAAATAATTTTATCTCATAATTAAAAAAGTAAAAACATGTATAAACCTAATTTAAAGTTTGACGCGGTGAATCCTTTCCAACTTATGAGTTTCAAGGATTTATAAGACATAATAGTTACCATTTTTAATGTTGTATTTTTATAAGTCAATTAAAACTAACATTTCCTTGACTAAAATGTATTTGTACTAGTCTTGGATTCCACGAATTGTAGATAGCACAAAAACAATGTTATACAAGTGGGAAGATGAGAACAAAGGCATTGATGAATTTGAAATTGAAGTGAGTAAAGATCTCCATGATCTTACATCTGATATTATATCCAAAGTCGCTTTTGGTAGTAACTATGAAGAAGGGAAAGA